AGCTCCTGGATGCTCTAGGCCAAGATCAATTTGTCAGTGCCAGGTTGTATGATGATTTATGACCATAGCTGAGTGAGGATGCTGGCCATGTTCTGCCTCTCTCTAACCAGCTGTGTTGAACTCAAGTCATTCCAAATCCCTAACTGGCTATGTGGATGAATGCTTGGAGAGACTGAAGTTGTTTATTGAATTTCCAGGTACAACTTTTGTAGCTGAAGGGAAAATTTGGAAGAGAAAATATTAAAAAGCTGTTAAAAGCTGCATTGCACCGTAGTAAATATATCACAGAGGGAGCTAGGCTTGTCTAGGACAGGCAAAAATTCTCAAAGTCAGAATTTTATTTGGCCAGTTTTTTTCACATCACACTTGTTATCAAAGGAAGAAACCTCTGAACACGTACCCAATACACCTGTAAAAGTGGCAAAAAAAGTGGCTAAAAAGGCTATCTTAACAGGTACATAAGTGTACCTGTAAATTATTCTGATCTGGGTGAACATTAGGCTCTGATTTTCCTTATCCAAACAGCATAGAAATCATGTACAGTCTGCAGAAGGGGATCAAAGAACAAAATCATATCTTTAACAAAAAAAAATGAAGGAAAACCAAGGGTAAGAAGATTAAGAACTTTAAAGGTCATAATAAAATAAAGATACAGTATAAATGTTAGAGTCCAGATGGTAGAGCATAAGAAATTTAAGGACAGTGGTGTTAAAAATGAATTACATTAATAAGGAAGGTTCGAGTGGCTTACATGAGCAGCATGGGATAGGTACCCTGACTAAACTCCACCACTTATTGTTTGGGACTGCTCTAGGTAAGGTGCTGCTTAATGTGCATGAAAAGATAAAGATCAGATCCCGTCTGGAAGTGAATTAATGCCTGGATCAAGCTGTTTCCCTGAAGGAAAACTTGATTTATTTTTCTGAATAAGAAATTCCATTATGGAGAGACATGAAAATTGACAAAAGTTCTATAAAGAGAAACAGGAAATACAGCTTCTTTTAGCAGCATTGGCCAGTTGTTTTTGTTGTTGGTTTCTTTTTCCTGTACAGCTATCCAGGAGCTTTATTAGCAGGATTATGCTGATAATTGGTTACACCTCAAGTAAGATGAACCTGACACTATTGCAGGGGAGTAGAAGAAAAAAAAAAAAAGAGGAACAGAGACAACCCCCCCCCATTATTAACATTTTCTTGATATCACAGAATCCACTAGCAGGTCAGAGCTGTAATAATTTCATTTCAGAATAATAAAATCAATGTTTAAGAATGATGAAACAACAGCTACCATGGCTGCTTCAGGTGTTATGATACCATTGTAGCACAGTAGCCTTATTATCCATTGTAGCTGTTCTTTGCATGTCTCGACCACCTGTGACAAGTGTCTCTGAAATCTGTGCAGAGACAAAACCTCAAATTAAATCTGACAAACACAGAAAGTGTCTTGAGCTAACTTGTTCTCCCTTTGCAGCTGCTCATTATGGAGTGACCTACTCTTTTTCGTGTCCTACAAGACTCACATCCCTGTAGATTGTGTTTATTGGAAGTTGATAGTTACAAGTGCTGACATTTGCCAGGTTTTATATACCACGGCATTAAAATCAGAAGAATCTGAGAAAGCCATTGTAAATAACATGAGAGAACCTTCCTAAACCTGTACACTGTATGAATGCAGAGGAAAATTTAGTTACTCTATTTTCAGAGGCTCTTTGTGTGCTCAATTCTCATTGTATGAGAGCTATTAGAAGTGCAAGCACATAACTGCAGATATAATGTCAAAGTCATCCACATTATAACAAGGTTTCAGATGCTCCATAATGAAGACTTCATCAGAGAGCGAAAATTATTGGCTCCCCCGTTGACGACTTTTACAAAAATCGTAAATGTATAAAGTTTGCCAGCTGGATTCATCTTCCTGTGCGCAGTCATTTATGAAGCTTTGAAATTTTAACCATTGGCAACAATGCCATATCTGAAAAAACTCCAAGAATATCTGTTCAATGACAAACAATGGTCTGCTAAATAGAGACATGCTGTCCTGACAGCTCCGCTTCAGCTTTACGGTTATGATACGTGCCAGCAAAAGCAGAGGAGACATTTTGTAGCGTCATAAAACTGCTTCCAAAAATGAGCACCCTGCAGCTATTAGAAACTGCATGAGAATCACCAAATGTCAGCCTCATGCTCAACAACATTCAGTTTAATAAACGGATTTCAGAAAGTGAACAACATAAGATGCTTCAAAACACCCTTAAGACTACAATGAAAATATTGAGTGCTAGAGAAAAAAACCCCAGCTATTCACCATATAAAGAAAAAAAAAATGGAGAATTTTGTGTCTCCTTTTTGTTTCCTGGGACCAATTAAGAGCATTCTGTCATTATTATTGTGGGCACTAGGAACAGTTTACGAACGACAATCAATTCACTGACACATCCTAATATTGATAGTCAGAGGCCTGCACTGAAAACAGTCCCACATTGTTCTGGCAGTTAACATCAGGTTTGTTTCTCAAATTTTCTTTTCTGAGAAAATATTTAAATTTATCCAAATCTAAAGAAAAAAAAGGGCCTGTGGGCGAAAGGAGTATTTCTGTGTACCAGAAACATAATGTGTGAAGAACTGTTTGGAAAAACAAAGAATTTTTTTTTGTCCTGAAAACTGTTGTTGAAATACTGCATGTCCTCATATTCTCTCCTCACTTTGCTTTGCTTCTGCTTGCCTTCCACTCCCATGGTTGCTCCAGCTCTGAGTGTGACTGGTGAGGCAAGAGGTGCCAGGCAGGTACAAAACCAAACATTTCCTGGCTTACACCACACAGAAACCAAAATCAAGGAAACCCCAAGTATTCACTAAAGGATGCTGAGTTTACCTGGTTTCTGCTAACTTTTTTTTTTTTTCCCAAGAGTGCTGCTACTGCTATAAAGGCATGTAAAATTTACTTGTCCCACAAAAGTCCATCTATTGGTCCAAGCAAGAATTTCTGATTAGAGTAACTCAGTTTCAAAGTGAAATTTCTTCACCCAGACAACTTACCAGGAATATTACAAAATGCTGTAATTCTATGAACCAATTAATTAAAGAAAAAGTAGTTGTACAAGTACTGAAAGGTTTTACCCTCAGATAGATTACAAGGCTGCTTACCAGATCTCAGAGGTCCAGTACTTTTACTGTTAGTTTCCAATTATCTAATTGACATTAGTTTCTATGAAAATCATGCCTCCTAAATCCCTCAATGAAATCAAAAGTGTAACACACCAGCAATTGAAAGTTGAAATTGGTATATGTTCTCTTTCATGGGCCTGGAGGAGACTGCAAAGAATATGAAAATATGGAAAGGATTGTTCTTTGAATATTCTTAGCTAGTGATAAGTGCTTGTGAAAACACTTGGGATTTGGGTAACCCCCTAAAGATCAAAAAGAACATATGGACTGTGATAGAAGGAAATTCAAAGCCCCATGTTTGGAAACATGTTTTTATGTACTCTGAAGTTCACGTAGAGAAAATCAGAATATGTTTGCATGTCCCATGGCTGTAAGGTACACAGAACAGAAAGGCAATCCTCTGATGGGCAGAACTCTTCTAATACACTACAAAGATTGCCCTGGGAACTAATATTTCATCTTGATTAAAGAAAAGACTAAAATTTGACCACAGATTTCACCAGACCCGAGATTTTATTTGCAGGTTGTCACAGCTTTGGATGTCTTAAGGTGCACTTCTGTGCTGCCATTAATACCTGAGCACTGACACAGGGAACCACGTGTGGCACAGCAGACATGGGGTGTGACACATGGGGTGTGACACATGGGGTGTGGCCCGAATCTTTCTGCAACTGTGATCATTCCCCCCCCTGAGTTTCTCACGCTCTGCACACAGGGCTGAACCACTCAAATCAAGACTCATCAATGGCTCTCCCTCAGTTACAAATGCTCTAAAGGCACCCAATGACCTAGTTTAAACTTAAAACTCGTATTCCGCATAGATCAAATATAAAGTGAACTTTTATAAATCCCTCAGTGTGACATGCCTAAGACAGCTTTCTGGGCAAAGAAGGACAGAAATAGAAAAGCCTCATTATATGCCTAACAACAAGGTAGAAATATGTAGATGAAGCTTATGCCTGATGGGAAAAGAGAAGGAAGAAGGGGGTGGGTAGGCTGAAGTTAAGTTTGAAGCCTGTGACACCAGAGTAAATACAAAAGATTTATTTATCAGTATCTGCAAATCACTGGGAGATTTGGGGGACTGGGGAAGGAATGGGAGAGAAAGGTTTACTTTAAATACAAACTGGATTGGGTGCCTGTCATTTTAAGATTGGGAGCAGGGGAGACAGGTCTGCAGTAGCTTGGGAGAAGAAAGTGTTTCAGGCAATTGGTGATTAATTGTACTGTGCTATGCCACATCTCTTTCTATTAAACCTCAGATAGCCAAATCTGTTTCCTAATTGTTTTTGTGTTTCTCAGTTTTCTTTTGTCTTGCATAGGAGTAGGCAATTTCTATGCCATCAATATCTCATTAAGGGGCCCGGGATCTGAAATGCCTTGTTTTGTTTTTAATTTTGTTTTCCAGGCTTTTTGCTCCATTTTATGACATGGCATTTTTTGTTTGCTTGTTGCGGTCCATTTATTCTCTGGCATTCCCTTTCCCTGGGTTATAGCTTTATTTGTTTCTCTGCCTGTTGGCACTCGAGGTGTATGTAAATTATTGTTGCATGCTTCACCATCACTACCTATTGCTCTTCATTTCCCCAAATGACATTCTCATCTGAATGCTGGTACCTGCTTAGGTTGTACACGTGTAAAAAATAACTTCAACTCATCCGTGAGGTCTCTTTCATTTATTTTTTTTTTACCCTCTTTCCTATTGCTTTTTGCCTCAGACTTGTGTTCATGAGGTAAGGAGGAGAGCTGCACGCTTTTTGCCTAGGGCAAAATCCTGCTGCCACTTGTGCAAGTAGAAGCTTAGAGGAAAAAAGGAAGGGCATTCACACAAATAGCTAATCAAAGGGTTTTTAATGATACTCATTAGGAAAGAAATTCATTAACAAGCCAGCACAGAACATTCCCTGAAGGGAGAGTGATGTTATTGGTCACATCAAAGTCCCCACCTGACTAACACCTTTATTGCTGTTCATAGTAAGGCCAAGTTAGCAGCAAAATCAGTCGCATTCAGTTCCTGCCAAGGAAAAAGTCAGCAAAGCATGGTCATGGAAACTGGATCAATTCTCTTTTGCTAATAAGAATGGCTTTTCAACTTTTCACAGCGATGTACAGTTTAGCACCCGCCACCGATGCTTTTGAATTCACATAATTTTACATTTCCTACCATTCATTCTTTTTCCCTGCTCTTTCTCTCTCTTTTATTTGGATACCTCTGACTGTGTCCAAACCAGTGCCCATGGTAGTGGTACAGTCCCACAGCAGCACAAAGCTCAGCTGGATGGATGCCAGTGCCCCTTTTTGAACAGAAGCCTGCAGGAGGCAACCTCATTGCAAGGCACCACTGCAGGCCCACCAGAGCTTACCCCCACTACTCAGGATAGACGCAACCTCTGAGCATCAGAGCCATTTCCAGCTGGCAGGCAAAAAAACTGCCTTCTTTTTTATGCTCACACCATTACTTACCTATAAAAGGGACTCTTATTTTTTCTGCCAACTCATTCCTAGAGATTAGTATCGGTATCTTGGGACACTCATTTGCTCTGTAAAAATTAGGTTTTTAAATAGACTGAAGCAGAAATCTCACTTTTATTGCACTGCCCTGATACAGTAGAGACCAGTTATTAGAACAAATTGTAGCAAGCCGCTTCCTGGTTGTTATACCCACATAATTACTACAGGCTGCTACATGAAACCCTGCTTCACTCTTATGCTTAGAGGCGAGATCTCCATTTTGCAAGGACAGAGCAAGTTCTATTATGCATTTTACTGCCAAAGGAGGTCAATTAACTTTAATTGGTTCTAATTAGCACTTGCTCAAGCTGTTATATTCTTTACCTGCATCCCAGTGGCTCTCCAAGTGCTGCACAATGGATTCCTGCTTATGAACACAAAGGAGAATTACTAATGGCATCCTCGAAGGCAAAAGATGCACTGATCAGCATAAATGGGGAACAAATATCAGCACAAATAGTAGCAGGCCTTTTTAAAAAAAAACAACAAAACAACCACAAACATTTCATCCCCATCTGGCTTTGATCAATTGAGCTGAATGCAACTGTGCACCTTGTTGTTTAAAGTTAGAACAACGAAAGTACACAAATGCAATTATTCTCTACCATAACTTCTTTACACCTGAGAGATAAGTACTGGAAAATGCAGGGGGTAAAGGGGTGGAGGGAGAGTGTAGCAGGTCTGAAAAAAAACCAAATAGATCATTTCAATGGTAGCAAAAACAAAATGCCAAGAAAAAGAAAAAAAAAAATCATCAAGAGTATATCTGAAACGTTCTATTTTCTAGGATTTTTGAGGATTGTTTTAAAAGATCTGTTTAAGTGAAAGGTTTAGTTTTGCTTTTGTTTGTTTGTTTGTTTGGTTTTTTTTTCCCATTCTGCCCCAGCGAAAGGAACAACCTCACTTGCCTAAATGTCACTGTAAGCCATTTGAGCCCTCAGGATGTGGCGAGAAGCTGGCACCCAACTCAGGATTGTCTACGACAGACTGAATGCCAGAAGAGATGCTGCAAACTCTGAGCTGTGCTCTAGGAACTTGTTTGCTGCTGTGGTCCTCCTGGATGTAGCTACACAGTTAGACAAACTCAGGCTAGAGAGGAATCTAGTCCTCACACCAACAGTAGAACTCAGAGCTGGCTCTCCCCAAATTACTAGTCCACCTTCACAGCACACAGGCATGGCCCTACTTCTCCTCTGGGTCCCACGACAAATCTCCGAGTCGTATCTGTTATTTTGGGTGAGGAGCATTGTCAGGCAAAGGTCAGTCCTAAAGAGAAGCAGGGAACATGCTACATACAGCAGAGTTTGGTAGCACTGCTCTGCTGTGTTCCACTGCTCAGCACTGAGACCGTGGCAGGACTGGGCAGGATGTCCCAAAATGTGAAACGTGCCTGACGAAATGGTCCCTGTGCAAACCACCACAGTGCCTAACTTATCAAAGACCCTCCCTGCCCTGAAAAACTCCATCCTCAGGGAAGTGACCTGCCTCTACACACGGGGTGCCTGGGATCTACTAAAACCCACCGAGACTAAAGCCACGTGGCTGGAGACTTCCTGAGGTGTCTCAGGGCACAAAGCGGCCAGGGCTGGGGCTTTGTACAACCCTTAACACACTCCAGTCCCACCAGCTTGGATTAACCACATATTTCAAACAAAGTTCTAGAATTAGTGTCCCAAGGATCGAGGTCTCTATGGACTTTGGATAATTTGTTTTGGTATGGAAACCAAAAACAATGGAGTTTATGCATATTACTGTACCATTCAAAATTACATGTGAAACTGTGGTGGACTCGGCTGATTCTAAGCCAGTGTATGTGTTCCCTATTTTAGTAGTATTTTTTACCATTTTCCTACTATTTGAATGTACCTCCTAAATAAAATGTTTGTTGCCCACATGGTTTTCAAAAATAATTTATTTTTTTAGCTAATGTGTTCCAGAGAGAGGGAACACAAAACATGTGTTAAAAAACAAAAATGAAATTAAAAAATCCTCCCCTCGGCAAACAAGTTTCCCCGATATCTTTACAAAAGAAGGCCAGCTTTTTTTCTTCCTACTTCCCCTGCTAAATCTTCACAAGGCCACTAATCATAAAAAAACCCAAACTGTATATATTGAAGATAAGTCAAAGGAGCTGCCAGTATTTTTGTTTTTAAAAAAAGTTCCTGCCAAAATCTCCCCCAGCCCGATTACCTTTCCTCTGTCAGTTGTGAGGGCTCTTTCTCAGCCCTAGTACACACCTTTTCTCCTGGCTGGCAAGGTATGGACTGAGGCAAGCATAAACCAGCATATAGTTATTTCAAACAGTCATGTCTTGCTTTTGCACTGGTGTATAGTGAAATTAATACACTTAAAACATTCCATGCACCTTATTTTTTTGTACTTTTCCCAAGGAACGGTGTTTCTGTTGCATTTCAGGTGACAACCAAAAGGTATTCAAAAGGTTTACTGACTTGAAAAGGACTTGAGAAATAAAAAAAAAAATAACAAAACCAAGAAATGTATGTTCTTTGCATCACTGAAATGGCTGCCTATACAGCAATACACCACTGAAGCACATGTAACCATTTATTATTTGGTCCTTCAGCAAAGACTGAGAAAAAATTGACCTGGCATCTCTTTGCCATTTGGGAATGTTCTGTACTGGGTTGGCAGAAGCTCTACCAGTACAAAACCTCAATTCCAAGGGTTCAGGCCCAGGGAATGCAGGTTTTACACATCCACTGCTTTATGGGCCTTAAGCAAAGTAAGCTGAGCACTTGGGTCCTTGTTGGACATCGAGAGCGCACACATGTACAAACGGAGGATGTTTGCTAGAATAGCTGGAGCAGTGTAATCACCCTGGTCCAGCTATTCCCAGTATAGACAGGACATTAAACAGAAACCCCTATGACAGGCAATGTTTACCACTGGCCTATTTATAACACTCTTAGCTTAGTTCAAAAACCAGCACATAAAACGTTCCTCGTCACCTGTAAGTGGACAGTGATGATTATAGCTCAGTCTATGTTATTATTGCCTGATTTTCCCAGTTTGGCTTTTCACATATTGACTCCTTACTCAAGGTCTTTTAACATAGATTTGAAATGTGAATATGTTTTATTTTTTCCCCAGTAAATATACAATACACACTTCAACAGTACTAATAACCAACTTCTTATGCCAATTAAACTTTGCTGCACTAACAATACCAATGAAACACATTAAGAGGTCATACTTTTTCGTGAACAAACGGTAGCCAATAAACAGGTTTTTTTTTAAAAAACAAATTAAAAAACAATTCTAAGTGCTGCCACAACAACCCTTTTCTTTAAACACATTATTCACAATAAATGTTTTCATTTTTTTTAAAAAAAGAAGAATACTTCTTTTAAAATAGTAAATTAAATGGCATTTTAAAAAATATGTACTGTGGTTCATTGGAAGTACACTGTATAGAAAAGAGAGAGAGAAAAAAAAAGAAGAGACATCACCTGTAAGATAATGGAGACACTTTGCCATACACAACAACACCTTATGTAATATTGTAAGCAAATTATTAATGAACAAAAATGTACAGAAGCAGATGGACAAGTTAGTGAATATCATGGTACCGCACAGCTTTAATACTGACACACATTTACTTTCCAGTGGAAGAGATAAAACACATATTAGAAAGTAATTGGGATGGCTTTATCAACCTCTAATGATACTGAATTTTGAATAGAATATAGTTAGTAAGGTGTTCCACCAAAGCTCAGCACAAGCTTTTGAACTAAAAGGAAAAAAATCAATCCGTGACTGAATTAAACATTTTCCAGAGAATTAAATTTGAATTGTACTCTGAATAGTCATCTCTTTATATGATAATATCAAAATAAAACCAAATATATGTAATTATGATGCATTCTTTATCTTACTTGAACATTTTTAAGCAATGTTTTTAACTGTAGTGTTTTAACACGCAGGAAAACGACATATACTCATTGGTCACATATATAAATAAATTCATACATTTTTTTTCTCAAGTTTTTTTGTTTGTAACCTGCTAAATAACACATCTTGACTTAGGGCAGTTAACTAACTTTTTTTAAATACTCAGTAGTGCTGAGTTATAGTTGATGGTTGTAGTGTTTTATCTTATCATGGAACAAGTTAATGAAATGAAAAGCAACACATATTCAGCATTGTAATTTACTTTTCTAAAATTCTGCCATTACTAAAAGTGTTCTTAATACTGGTGAGCTCCAAGGCAATATATAAAACAACATAGACTGGTTATATGAAAAAGGTATTCAATGGAAACTTATGTTCATGATCAGATAACTAACAGAAATAAGCTGTAAGATTTAATATTTAAATTAAGCATCAAAGCAATGGGTGGGCTATCCACATATAATATTCTAAGAAAAGCTTGACAATTTACTCATTGAGATTTGAGAAGTACAGAAGATTTGGACAAAGTCATGAAAATTAATGAAGAGACAGGATGCTGTCATTAATGTCCACTTACAGAGTCTGGTTTATTCAAAAAGTGTATAAACATGTGTTATTTCCTCATCATAGTAGGGTTTGAAGCCACTCACTAAAACACAGGTCAAAGATTTTCTTTGCTTGTATCCAGCTTTTGGATGTAGTGTATTGCCAGAAATATATTTAGTGGAAGTCGAAAATAGTTTGACTGTTGCTTTCCTTCCAAACACTAAACACTTTACTACAAATTTAGTGGATCCAACTTCAACTCTTGCAGACTTCAAGTAACAGAACAGAAAGGGTTGTGTAGACTGCATCAAAACAACTAATGTCATGAATTTCAGTGGTGCAGCTCTATCTTCTATTCTACTGTACATGTATTGGAAAGATGAAATAAGATACTCTGACATTTCAATTTTTTGGAAGCAGCCTGAATATGTCTTAACAATAAATTGCATTCTTAACTTCTTGGTGGGTATTCCTTGCGTTTATATTGTTTTTTTTCTCCTGGAAAATCTCTGTCTTACATTTTGGGCTGGAGAAATTAACGGTAATAATTCCTTTAAAACTGCAATATAAAAACAGCTTTAGTGAAACACCTTAAGTTCTTTTGTTTGTAGCAAGGTTTGTTTTTCTTCCCCTTTACTTAGTGGCATGGGATGGCTAAAAACAGATACTAAGGGCATCATTCTAGTGAAAGGGTCTAGGCCATCTCATGCTACCTTTAATTTTCATATTCGCCCTTTAACCTCACACTTCCAACTTTTGACCCTTTCTTAAATAGGAAGAGCAACTATGTTGCTTGCTTTTAAAAGATTTAAATCTGTCTCTAATGTCTTCACTGACATTAGTTTTGCCTGTCACTTTCTCATTTCTACACCCCAATGGAAAACCACCTAACATACACCTTTACATCCAGCGTTATCCAAAGTAGCTTACAGGACGTAAACCTTCTCCACACATTCAGTCTCTTTTTTTTCTTCATGTCATGAGGAGTAGAGTTTTGTGCTTATCACCAAATAAAATTGCAGTGCAAACTTTAAACATAAAAGTTACACAATTAAAAGTTAATATATGGCACCACAGCCTATTAATTCACATATAGTACAACAGACCAGTAAAAACAGACATGAATATGAACATAGCTAAAAAGAAGGTGAGCTTGCATAGCAATGCAACAAAAGAAATTATATACAGAAGGAAATCCTTTTCATCCTGGAGGGTGATTTTTTTTTCTTTCTTTTTTATATACTCCTGACAAGGAATAGTTTAAGGTGGATGGTGTATTAAAGAGAAGAACACAAGTAAAGAATCTGTGGGATATGTGTGGCTGTGTGTCTTTACATTGCATTTACAGTTCTTTTAATAGTACATAAATAAAGAAAATGTTCATTGCACTGTTTAGTGTCATCACTTCCATGAGTTCAGACCTGATGGTCCATCAGAGCAGCTTGCAATGTGTCTTCTCAACTACTCTATAGAGAGAAACAAAAAGAGAAAGAGGTTGTAATAAGAGAAAAAAAACCCATAAAACAAAGCCTATGGCAATATTACTGCAGTACAGGATAAATATTCAATAGGTTGTGTGAAGAGAGTTAATTGCTTCTAAGATGAAAAGCAATGGATGCTAAAATTCAGCACTTACCAACACCATATCTGAGATTGCACATTCCAGGGTTTGTGGATCCCCTCTTACAAGCTACTGGGCAATAACTGTCAGAAGGAACTGAGGGTTTGACTGCAGTCATAGGATGCAGACATGCCAACAGCCCCAACTCCTTTTATCAGTAAACACACCAGTATGCCCGAGCTTGCTGGGATGTTGATGTTCTACTTCAAACACCAGAGTGAAACCTTTGGGTATCTGGTACTGCCATCACATACACAGCATCAACACAAAGCTTAATGGACATCGACTGATAATAGAAAAAAGTTTGGGAAATAATTTCCCCGTCCTGGGATGCTGAGGAAAAGAGTTGAGATATGCAACTCAAAAAAAACGGGCCACACAATCAAGAAAAGAAGACCTCCATCTAAGAGAATACTTCTCATCAGGTGACAGGAAGTTAAGGAGAAGGCATCACCATGACCAAAAAAAATCAGCACCCTTTTCATTCAATCTGAGAAAAAACAGTCAATGGCATTTCCAATACAAGCACATTACACTTTGCCAAGAAAATTCCTAATTACTAGAATTTCTCTTCAGTTTTCTCTGTGCTTCACTAGCATTACACACTGAAAGACATACTGTGTAGATAACATTGGCATGAACTTGTCCAAATCAAAGAACAGAAGAACATAATTTATTTGTCACCTCAGATGGCAGAAATATCTGGGTAAAATTTAACCTGATTATCACACACGACTTCCTACTCTCTTCACAGCAGACCTGTAATTTTTCTCTTTTTGTCTATTTGAGAGTTTTAACTGTAGCTAGAGATAGACTTACATAATTCACCAGTAAACTGTCCTTGACTGTTTGATCCCACATAGCCTATATCGAGAAGGTCACTGGCATTGCGTTGGTGACCTCCTCGCAAGACTTCACCTTTTCTAGGTCCAGTCGATCCTTTAGAAGAAGATGTTCCTGAAGAGCTGTGGCCACCAGGGGATGGGAAGTTGGGTTTACTATATGGTACGAGTGCCTCTTCTAGAAAAGCAAAACAAAACCAAAACAAAGTAAATACCAGGGAATTCCTAGAGATAGGAATAAACAAGTTATTCATTTATGGACATCATATTCATTCCTGCCCTCATAAATCTGTCTTTCGTCTTGCTTTTTATGGCACGACAATTTTACCTAGGAAAATACACAACTAAGAGTTGTGTCTCAAGGACGGAGAAGCCAGCATGAATTATTCTTGTTTCCTTGTAAACTCATAAGTCAGTTTGTATTAATTATAAAAAGTCTAGATTCATTATGAAGTAATAAATCATGAATCATAGATACTTTAATAAAAATAGATGCACATGCAATTTCCAAAACAATGCAGCTATGATTAGATTTTTGCTTCAAGCCCACATGAATGTGCTTTTTCCTTTTCTTTAGCTTAAATTATGGCAACATTACCTCAATCAGTTTAGATAAAGAACTACAATATCAGCTAATTTAATTAGCTTCCAGCAACTCAGTAATTTCTAACGATGCAAAGTACACTAACAATTTTTTTTTAACTAGTGGTGAATCACATTGGAAAATATTATATTTCACATAACAGTTGTAATATTTGGGCTGAATAAATCATCCTGCAGCTTGTTTCATGTTCCATTATGAGCAAAAGGCTTACTTTTGCTCACTTGGCTTCTTTTTCGCTGAAGACCTGTAATAATGAACTGCTTGCAAGAGCAGGATTAATAGCAATAAAGCATAAGACTGCATGTCTTCATATAGCATGAAGTAAAATAAGACATCACTTCTGATTAGAGTTTCCAGGAGATATTGTTGTAATAATCCCAACCTAAGAAGCAAAACAGCAGCACTGATTTAGCACTGAAATAGAAGCACTGTTTTATTTCTTTGCTGTGTATGATCTCTTTTCGCCATCTCAGAAGCTGAAGAAAGAGATCTTCCTAAATATAGTTTGGTTCAAGAAAAAATATAAGTATATATCCTTAACCTCAAACACAGCAATTGCCCCTTCTGAAATCGGTGGGATATCTCCTGCCTGAATATTACTTTTTTTTTTTCAAGTGGATCTAGGCCAAAAGGGTTTTCTTTATTTTGCTTTTCCCATTGTCTTCACTCTTAAATAACCCGATGAGGAGAAACGGACTTTTCTTTGACAGAGGGCAGGAACACAGATGGAAAAGTAGGTGGGGATGGTTGGAAAGAAAGAGGAGATAAAAATGCTTTGATTCACGAGCTTGAAGCCTTAGCAAAGGCTGCAGCAGAGGCACAATTAACTTAAGAGAAATGCTAAATGAGAATGAATTTGTGGAAGAAACCCAGGATTTCATTCTGTGTGCCTGCTGCCACAAGTGAGTAGGACATGGGGATTCCCCATGTGATCTGCTATTGAACAGAGCCTGTTTGCAAGGTAAATCTGTTGCAGAGAAAGGCAGGCAGCTGAATTCTTTCCCTGCCAAAGTATCTCACTCTGGCCCTGCCCAAGGGACCAGAATATTTGTGCTGGGGGACATAAGGGCATTATCAATGTTTTGTGCTATGACCGTGTGGTGTCCTTGCTGAAATACAAAGAAATGCCCAAAAGACACAGTAAAATGGCATTTAACAGCCATAGTCTCCTAAATTATGTTACTTGTTCCTTGTATATCAAAGCCCAACAATAGAATCAGATGCAAACCTGGTTTCCAAAGGCTGGCTAAAATATGGAATGGCTTGCATTAAGGCAGTAATAAAGCAAGCAGCATAAATCAGTTTAGCAGAAAGCTGGATACATTTTTAAAGGATGAAAAGAAAAGTCACTAGCATTGCAAAAGAGCTGGAAGATGACATATATGGTCAATTGATTTGTTTTTCTAGTTTGTGGACTCTGGATAAGGCCTCCTTCAGGTTCAATGAAATATTGAGAGAAAACGAGAATGAATAAATATAAAGTCCATTATCATTATAGAGCATATGGTGTGTTAAATTATCTATTGTGCCCTCAGAAATAAATATAATCCATAAAATAAGTAATTGTGACATAAAATAAAGGCTAAGTTTTTCACAACATTCTAGCACATGAAAGGTAGTTGTCTCAAGTCCTGAGAATGGACTCACATTCATTAAACACTCCAAACAGTGCCCCACGCCCTAGACTTGCAAAGAATATGGGGAGCCTTTGCCAATGCCTTTCTCTTTGAATTTCTGAGCCTTTAATTTGAAGACATAATTCTAGCCCCCATGAAATCAAGATAAACGTGTGTAACAATGTTTCCAGGCCCCATAAAATAACCCAAAGGCTTTTCATATTATCAAAACTATTGTAACCTAATCTAGCACTACTCTCTTTAGAGGGACAGATGAGAATGTCATATTTGATGTGCTGTAACTGTGATTCCACAATGAAGCCACTGGCAGGAACCCAGTGATCTTGTTTATACTGAAAGCAACCAGTGGAAACACGGTTCCCAGACCTGAGCATTTTTATTCTATTCAACTTCAAACTAAAGGTCTTGCTTTCAAAATTTCACTCACAGTTTGGTAACATCTGAGTGAAACCCCCTAAGCTGCAAATTAGCTATTTTCTGGAAGCTGATAGCTAATAATAACTCCTTTTGGAAATGTATTGAAAAGTGGGACAGGATAGATTTCCAGAGATCTATGCCATTAATAAAGGAAAAGGGAAGAAGTACAATTACTAATATGATTAACCCCCTCAAGTTTAGTAATAGGAACAGGCATCATGCACAAGAGTAGCCTTTTTTAAATCTAGCAGAGACAAGAATACAGAGCAAGAAACTGTAGTGCCAGAGAAGGCAGACAGATAGATATAAAGCTCTGGCCCACCCTGAGCACAAACTTTATGAACTCCTCACACCAGGGTAAATCCATAATATCTCCTAGAGGAATCATTATTTTATGCATAAAGGATATGCACTTGCTCTCATCATCCTGAATTTGACAAGAACAAGATACCTGTAATCACTTCAGTCCTAAATTCACTGCTTATGTAGGTCACTGGAAGTGGCAAGATCGAGTTCTCTTTATTTATGGACAGATAAATGCATGTCCTGCAGGATGGGAATTGTATTACTGTATAAGCTCTGCATCACAGAACAACTGACAACTTCTATTTGTACACTTGTGAAGCAGAGGAAAAAGAAGGATGTTCTTGCTAAGCAGGTCAGAGAAGCTTCCTTAATAACAATTTACACAGAAATAAGAAGTGTAAAGTATATTCAGGCTATTTTTTCTACATGTTTGTACATCTCGTACATTGCAATTAAAATTGCCATTTCACCAAACAGCAAGAATTTCACACATTATTTTTAAACTGCGACTTCAAGATTTCACAACATGCACAACCACTCACTTGTTTATGCAGCTGAAAGATTAGAGGTTTTTAACAGTATCGCTATGGTTATATTTTAAAGTATGCTTGTATTTAAAATAGTTACATTTTAAATATTGGTAGCAGTATTTCCCAGGAGTACTTTATTCAGTAAATCCTGCCCCCATGATAGATTTGCTTGCATATTACTAATTTTTTTTTTGGAGTGTCAGTGATACTAGTGGCCTAGATTAACAGGAAGCATTAATAGGAGAATAAAATCAAGAAAAATATGGATTATAAGAGTACCTGCAGTGTGACAGTGGGAGTCACATATATACTTGAAGAAACAGTATAACCCTACAGAAAACTCCACATACAGTATAATTTTTTGTTTAAATCTTCTTAATTGTCCTCTTGTATTACTCTAATCAGCACTGCACTGGTATGCCATGTGACTAGTGGGTTGAAGAAAATACCCTAGTTTGAGAGTAAAAGCTGGAAGAGAAGCTTTTACTTGAGGTCAGGCTGAGAGAAGGAAGCTGCAAATATTGTAAAACTACAACTCCAGCCCAGCATCACCTCCTGTGCACATTTTTACAGACCTGAAATCCATTTAAGAGATAAAGTCAGCCCGCGGCAATGTGCAGTTCCTGTATGAAGGTGAAAGCCTGCTCTGTCATCTTGCTGGGCCTAAGAGAGGAGCGTTACTTTGTCATATCCTTGAAGAAGAAGATGGTGCTTTAAATACAGCTGGAGGGAATGTCAGTAGCTCAGAAGAATCAGCCTTCTTTTGGACAGCCAAAAACATCTTCTGCCAATTTAGAAGAAGGTTCAAAGAACTAGAAAATACAGCCTTGTATTTATAAGTAAATACATCTACCAGAAGATACTCTAAAAATCTCTTTCTCCTGTGCTGGCCTGAAACCACTCCTGTTTTCTCCACTGCTATGCTTGACAACAATATTAATTGCCAAAACACTGTAAAGAATGCCCCGAATAAGGTGTTAACGATATTTCACGGCTGCAGGAGGGAAAATAGTTGGATCACAAGCTCTCCCTTCACTTTGCCTTTTCTTGTTTTCCAGCCTAAGCCTCACCAGTGTGAGGTGATCCTGGACTCCTGCCAGGTACAGAAAACTCTCAGCAGAGTGTCAAGAAGCCGCCTGCCTTGCCTCGGCCGGTGCAGCGCACACACACCTGATCCGAAGGCTTGTTTGTGTTGGGCTTTCCTGAAATCCTCTTGGCGGTCTGTAGAGCTTATCCACTCCTGGGTTTGCCGCTGCCACTCTAGAGATGTCCTAGCTTGCCGGTCCAGGGAGCTCTTTGTCTCATCTACGTTCGGTGCATGCTGCCTCTCAAGAGAGCTTCCTTTCCTCTCTGCCGAGCCTCCGCGCTGGCCGGGGACTATGGGCTGCCTTAAACCCTGACCAGGGGGCGGGTCGGGTGGTGGTGGAAGATCTAAAAAACGTGAATAAGATTTAGATGAACTAAATTTTTTTTTTTTTTCATTGAAACAGAAGGTCTATTTGATGCTGAAAAAAGAAAAGTCCCCTGCAACCGGCATGAATCGCTCCATTCGTTGATTTTTAAAGGAAGGAATTTCATGTTAATCAGAAAAGTGGGTTTGTATTCTGCTAGCTCTTTATCCATGTTACTGTGTTGCTAGCTCTTTCTAGCTTCCATAAAAATTGATAGGCTCTCATCCCTGACTTACATTTCTAAGCATGGAATTTATTTTCTGTGGGGTTTATTTATTTTCTGTGGGGGTGCTGTTCTGTTCAGCAACAGGAAGAATTAAGAAAGGCAATGGAAAACTGACCTGTGCCGGTTGACAATTTCCCTCAACATATTGAGACTTGCTTCATCATCCCCATTTTCAGGCTTAACTTTCAGTTTGATATCTAAACTCAAAATCTAATATAGAACATCATCAAAAGGAATAAAATGCCACAAAAATTGCAAAAAAAATATTCACAAAACCTACTGTCATTGAAAAACCATCAATATATCTCTGAAAAATGTGTTTAAATGGAACCACCATACAATGTGTAAGCATTTTATTCAAGTAAATGAAGAGCTAAAGTCTTCACAGACAAGGGGATGGCCACTCTTCAGTTTAGTGTCTTGCAAATATAACCAACCAAAATACAATTTAAGCTAACACCAAAAGACACTTGACTGGTCTCTAATAATCTTGTTCTTTTCAAGTTTATCACTTGGACTACTAAGATACTCTTAGAATTGAAGATCAACCTTCTAATCACATTTGTTGAAGCAAAAGTACAATTTTTATTAGTTCTAGTCCCAAGGTAATTACCGACTCCGAATAATTTTAATTCTAAATCTAAGATTTTCATGTAAAGTACACAAAAGACTTATAATAGTACAGAAAGGCCTCAGATTATTTAAGAAAAAGAAAACAAGAAATAAAAGACCTTTAGTATCATAATGAAAACTATTCTCTATCAGATATCCATTTTATACGTGGAACATTTTTTGATAATTCTGTTTTGGGGCAATGCATAGCCCAAATAAATCCCTGCAGCCCCATGAACTTCACTAAAACTGTGTTAGTCTACAACAGATTTGGGTCTGTCCTGTTTTCTAGTCTATTGTATCTTACAGTGTTGTGAAGATTTATCAAGAAATTGAACTTGGTTCAGTAACAGGAATGGAAAAGGAGACCTGTTTTGCCTTCAGGGAAGTCTGATGCTTATAACTCTAGTGAAACTGAAATTCATTTTATAAATTGGTCAGGAGGCCTTTGGAGGGAGTTTATTTCAAAGTCTGTAATCTGGCTTTATATAATACTTTATATAATGCTACACAGAATTTTTTTCATGTCCTTGCTGCTAGAAGTGATACTTATACCTCATATACAGAGCAGATATGCTTCCAAAGTCGCTGAGATGTCATTCCAGTCAACGTTGTCTCTTACAGATAAATGAGGAAGTGCAGGTAATTTGTGTTTACAAGGGAAAGAAGTTGTCCCTGATGATGCTCCTGTACCTTTGCTCAGAGCTGAAGTGCTACACCCCGATTAAGATAACTATGTTCTGGCAAGAGCAGCCTTATAATAACGTGTCAGTGAGCCTGGTGTATGCTTTATGTTCAGCACTAATTTATTTGAGAAATTTTTCGTTATGAATATAGATGTGACCTTTCGTGGCAATGACTATACTTGAGTTACTGTAGGTGGAAGCAGGGGGGTATGGGAGCTTGCCAATGTTGAAATTGCTTTATAGTGTTGGCTTCCAAAATGGCATTTCTTATAATTGATTTTATTGCAAGCATAACCAGTTAATGTACAGAACCACAACACTGGCATCTGCTTATGAAATCTGAAATAGAGATTACTGAAGTTGTGATTTATAAGCACTTTGTGGGGATGCATTGAATCCAATAAACAGTCATAACATGACATAGGACTATGCAATTTCCCCAGATAAAATATTTACCATTCAATATAAACAAAATTTTCAAGTAGTATCATAGAAAAAAAAAGTTCAAATTATTCCAGTATTAAACTTTAAACAGAGTACCCTTCTTCAGAAATTGCCATCTAATAGTTGTTATTAATTAGGTACTTAAAAGGAAAGAAGGTTTGTACTTAAACCGTTCTGCATGTTCTAGAGCTACCTACAACTCCTGGAATTACTGTAGACTTATGCTGCTGATCTAATGTTAACCTGATTCTTGCTTTTATCCATCCAGAAAATAAGCATAAAGACTAACTTATGCATAGAAGTAAAATAAAACATCATGTTTGTAAAGCTCTGTGGCTGATGAGTTGAAGTGAAAAATAGGATTCACATTCTAATGAAGATTCACAGAATTCTGGAAGAATTACAGGTACTATAGAATTAAAATAAGCTGGCTCCAGCCTGAGTACAGACTTACTGAACTGTGTTACACATCTGAGAAGATCTGTAAGAACAGTTACTAATTGTAGCCAAGCTTCACCTGACTAAACCATTTTCTTTTTCACCTTCTTCCTCAGGCTGACTTGTCATGGTAACACCTACTTGTCCTTTTTAATAAAAGCTGGAAGAGAGCTTCATTTGGAAAGGTGGCTTTTTCTTTGCTCTACAACTCACATCCCACAGTGTAAATCTTCTGCCTTAGGTAAATTACTAAATATTCTCTGTTATCTTGCTTGGGCATACAGAAAAATCTCGTGTATCTGGAGTCACGAGTTTCTTTCTCCAGTGCCATAGAGAGTAGTCTTCCCTTTCCCTTTCTCTTTCCCTTTCCTTTCCTTTCCTTTCCTTTCCTACCCCTTGTAAAGGGGTAACAGAATATCAGCAGAATTAGTAGCCTCAGACTCTGGTAGGCAGATTTATTTCCACACAGAGGCAATCCAAGTCATTCCATCATGTCGATTACTTCAGAGTAGTTTTGAATCTAGAAATTTAGGGACTTCAGTGGGATTTTCAGTGAGGATACCCAGAGTGGTAACACTGACTATCACTCTACTTCCATCTAAATCACATTTATCTTTCATGTGCCAGATAAAATACCTAAAAACCCACACTGAGCTAGTAACTTTCTAGGCCAGTGGGATGTCATCCAGACTATCGTTTGAAGCCTCTAATGGTAGGATTATCAAACCTGTGAGGCAATTCATAAGTGCATTTCTGGAGGTGGTGGTGGGGTGATTGCCTTATTGATTTAGTAATGGAGGGATTGTGATTGAGAAGCTGTAGGACATCAGAGTGCCTAATAGGGGGGAAATGGATATTCGTCCTGGGATTACTCCAGCCCTCCGTTAGAAGGCAGGGCATTGGCTAAGTGATTTAGGTACTAGTCAAACTTTGTCACAGTCTCTCATTATTAACTGGAAAAAGCAGCAAGTTACAGAACCTACAAGTATAAGGACAAACCTTTCTACCTGTGCCAGTGATTTCTTTTCCTAGGGATGATAATTACTGTGACATTTAATAAGCCTCTGAACCACTTTCTAACATCAGAAGGTAAGGATCTTCTCTACAGTGATCTACCTTAGGAAAAACTGACTTTTAATACACAGTAGGAAGTCAGTGGGAAAACTAAGAGAAGTCTTGTGTTCCAGTTCTCCTTTTTAGCCTCTAAGCATATTTCCTTCTGCCTCCTTTTTGTTTTTTTTTTTGGTTTTTTTTTAACATATCATGCTCAGAAAAGGAAGAGCTTTTAAATTTAGTCATGAAGTTACCATGCCACAAACTATTTGACAGATTCCACTGTTTTGCAATTTGTGAGTATATTGTTTCCAGGAAAACAAATTATTCCTTGAGCACTAGAACTAAAAACCTCCTGTTTTTATGGTGGCCTGTGAGCTCAGAATGAAAGTTTTCATCATCTGTTAGATTCATAATATATTCTTCCTCTGTGGATTTGCTGTTGTATCCGTGGTCTTTCAGGACGTGGAAGTTAAAAAACAAGTTGCACAGCAAGACAAATATAAAGACTCCATCTAGAGTCAGTCTCTAGAGTATTCTGACCTGCAGCTGAAGAAAATGAAGCAGCAGGCTTTTAGGGGATTTGTGTGGATTGCTGTCAAAAGTAAGCATGCAGTTGAACCCTCATATGCTTACACAGTCTGAGATGTGTGTGCTATGTGTTAAATATTACAGCGTCTTAGGTCTTTTGCACTGTCCCACATGGTTACAGTTAACGCGGCGGAAGTGCTCAGGATGCATATGGGATTGGGCAGAGAAAGGACATAGCTGGAGATTACTTGGTCAATGAAAATTTAAAATGACAGATATCCGGGATGTGATGAGACTTAAACACAGGATACTAGGACTGATCTCACTTGGGAATTTGAAAACAACTGACAAACCAAGTATGTTCTCACATGACAAATCCAAGAGGAATCAGCTACAAGGGAATGGATTGCAGACATCTGAGAACCAGGAAAAAACATATAGTGATGCTTCCCACTGAAATCATGACAGCCTGGGGCTGGCCTGGATTAGGATTTAGAATTGCTAGACCTATCTGAGGTTCTCCTGCTTGCTTTCTCTAGCTGTAGCTTAAGCATAGTGGGATTGTCTCTTTTTGTAAAGTTCATTGCAATATTCCACAGAGAGAATCTAGTCACCACTCTTTTTCTGTATACCAGAGTTTCCTAAATTCAATTGTTTACATACATGCAGGTGGCAGCAGTAACCTTTAGCTTCCTTAATTTCAAATGATCTTTTGCAAATTTAGATATGACTCAGACTTGCCATTACACTTTAGTGACTCATATTCAGTAGGAGTTGAAGTGGAAAAACTGTACCATTTGTGTTTATTTGTTCCTGTGTTAATACAGAATGGGAAAGGTTTCTCTATTGCTCAAGGACATTATAAATTTTTGGAACATATAGTAAGTACTTCCAGGTTTATAACAGGTAAATATTAATCTGTTTACTGCCTGTGTCTGAAATGTTGAGGGAAATAGTATATAATTGGTATTCTGACTCAAATATATGAAAGAAACTCCAGTAAGATTAGTATTTTATAAAGATTAAATAAAAGACAATAGGAGATTTCTCTTTTAAAATAAATCCTAAAATCTGATCTCTTTCACTAATTTAAAACAATGCCGAATTTCACAGTGGAGTCACACTGTGGAGTCACACTTCCATTTGTCCCATGACCTGAACTGGATTCCCATTATTTTTCTGGTACCCACATTATTGTAAAACATTTCCATAGCAATAGTATTCAAAAGAAGAATTAAGGTCCCACCATACTGAGTACACTACAAACTCACACGTACATAGAATTTGGAGCCCAAACTGCTCACAGTTCCAGGTGACAGGATATGCCAAACAGAAGGATTAACACATGGACAGACACTGTATGGCCAGCACCACAAGTGACACCCATGATTTCTAGTTACTGTTCTCACAGAAACATATATTTAATGGATCTGTGTAGCAGAGAGGCCTCTGGAAGACATCCAGAAGGGCAGGGTATTAATGTTTAAACCAATTCAGATCCATATGAGCAAAATCTAAGCTACTTTACACTGTTTCCACAAATAATATGGCATTGAGAATTAGCCATAGAGCATGAGATGTAACAATAACCCCTTTGGTGAAGACTTTCCCTTCTGGAATTTATTCTCCATCTTTGTGGTCTGGCAAACATGGATTCTGCCAGAGGATACTGCAAAATTGAATCTTTATACCTGATAACGTGACTGAGAACAGAGCTCTGGTGGTTTTGGTGGTCACGGTCTACCTTGCAAGATGTTAATATATTTTATACATGTACCTGGAGTAATAAATAGTGCATTATAAAAAAAAATTCAATCTAAATATATTGTCTATCACATCTATTTATTACATTACTTGTCCAAAGAAGATAAAGGAGTGAGTTGGACTTGATGATCCTTATCGGTTCCTTCCAACTTGAGATATTCTATGATTCTCAAGTAATTTTTACTAGAATAAGAAGGTTTCTTATACTGAAATCTAAGGTAATTTTTTAATTTTATTTTTCCACCTTTCCCATGCACAGGAAGATTTGTCAAGGTGTACTTAAGATTGGGGGATAGACTCACTGGCATCACACTCACTCCCACGGTCCAGACAGTGTTATGAGAGCCTCTGAGGTATATGGGACAGTCTACCTCTCAGAACTGTCCTGCTCTGAACACTGAAAGAGGGGTCAGCATGAGGGAAGTGACCACATCTCCACCTGCATGGCATTACAGATATCCTTAGTGGCTTCTTTAATGCTGTTTTTCCATCTGCCTCTTTCTCCCCTCTGATCATTTCAACACCTACAGGTGCAAGGCCAGGAAGAGAAGAAATGAGGGGGAGGTGGCCAGCCAGCCACCTTCCTATGCAGTCTTCCTCGAAAAGTAGCAGTCTTTTACCAGACTCAGGAGTGGTAGACAAAGATAATGGAAGACAGAGCTGATCTTGGGCAGATCTTAGAAGAGACTGAAATTTCCAGATGGGAAGCAGTGGTCAGAGAAAAGCAGAGATGTAAAAGAGGGAAACAAAGTCACTGAGGTCAGCAGATGTCAGGACTGAAGCAGCACAGACAAAACATGAAGCAGAATCACGGGAAAAGCATGGCACATGTTGTAGCTGTTGAGTGTCTGTCAAAAACAGGACAAAGCAAACAGTGCTGCGGGAGTGGCTCTACGCTTCTCCTTAGGAATTCATGGCACACTGCTACTGGTGGTGGCTACTTTCACTTAATGTAAAATTACTCACAGGTCATTTTTTAATGTCAACTCCTGTGCAACACAGCCATTTTTGGGTAAGATTTATATCGAGATCTGATATCTCCTAAGAGATGCTAACGTGTTCAGAGCCAGAATGAAGGAAGGCTCCTTGAAGACTCACTTTACCAAGCTCCACACTGCCAGCATTGCAATATTGCTCACGAGGCAACCTAGGGACCCCGCTACACCAAACCAGTAATTCACTACAACCTATATTTCTTAAAAGATTGCTCTGCCTTCTCCCGCTCTGCACAGCTGCTTGTTGCAGGTTATCATCAGGGCCCTCTCCACAACACTTACCATCTGTGATTCCCTCCCTACGATGAGGCAAAGGGGGCTGGTCCAACCGTCCTCCCTTGTGTTTTTTAGTGGGCCTCGGCCTCTGACCCTGATTGACAGCTGCACTGGTGTTGCTGTCAGTAGAAAAAGGACTGCTCGGCCGAGGTCTCTGAGAGGAAGAATATGCTTTGCCTACAAAAAAAATAAAAAAAAAAAAGAAAGAGAAACCAGATGAAAAAAATGTTATTGCCTTGAAATGGGTTGTTCTATTAATGTCTGTTCTGAAACATTAAATCAGGCCTAATTCTCAGAGGCAAGCGAGTGTCCCCTCGAGGTTCCCACTGATGACAACTGCTTTAAGACATACCACAACAAGCGAAGTGATAAACTGGGCATTCTTTTGTCTTTAACTTTTATAATTAAAATTATTCCATCTGTTGTGATAAAACTACTGTATGCCATCTAACTCCTGCCTGCTCTGTGTGCTGAACAGATGTGTCATAACAACTCCTCAGCCTTGAGCAGGGAAGGAAAACAGTTCTGCAATCATATCAAATTTATCTCCTCCTGCCTTCCACTTTCATGTTTACTGAGCCAGATTCTCATTTTAGGGGCTCCCATATGCACTGTATATCTGGAGTAACTCCAGTGAGATAAACATAACTGATTTTGCAAGCTATGTAGCAGGGTAGGTTTGTATATTTAAGGGCTCTCTTTTCTCAAGAAATAAAAATGGGGGCATGTTGAAATGCTAAAATTTTCCTGTTCATTTTCAGCACTTTTATATGTTAAAAAAATGTATTCTCACTGAATTTATTCCTCATATATATATATATAAATATAAATATATATATACACACACATACAGACAAACTATTCAAGCTACATGATGTCTCTTAAAAAATATCTTTGATGCTGTTCTATGGAGCAGATGATTAAAAGCCTCATGCAGGAACCGTAGGAGCAGCGCAGTTCATTTACTACATTCACTTCCTCTTATTCTGATGTTTTTATTCAGTTAACTTAACTAGGCTTAATGTTTAATGCCAACTGATGAAAACTAAAGATCGCCATCTTTTACTTCCTTTTGTTCACGTGTAGGTTGTTCTTGCCAAGTATCTTGGGGATGTTAACATTTTAATTTGTTTAAAACTGGTAATTAAAATTCTTACATGTTTTAATCCTATCTGCAGTGGAAAATGTATAAGCCAGTCAGACTTTCTGCTCTTTTAATGCTGCTGTAGGCCCAAATGGTGTTAGAGTTGATGGAAAGTGGCAAAATGGCTGTTGGTATTTTTCTGGTCAACTGAGCTCAAGCTAGTAAGGAGGTTTTTTTATCCTCTAGTTAACTTAGGCCTGGGTCTACCTTGCTGCAAATCCTTTCAACAGATGCTCTTACTTCCAACATGCTGTCACATATGACCTGATCTAGATAAGCTTAATCAGGAGTAATATGCAGCTCAGCATATTGTTTGAAATATTCCCAGTGCAAAGAGGACAAAGTGAAAAAGTAGCCGTAATCTCTCTAACATGGTGTTTCACATTAATACATACATGTTAGAACAATATGTCACTGTTTGACTTCAGAGATTTCCTGACTCTCTCAGCCTTGCCTTCTGACTGATGTGCACCCTGAGGGGGACACTGCTCCCAGGCAGGTTTGTCTCCCAGCTGTGGCTCTGCCAGCTGTTGGAGGTTACCACATCAGAACCCCTCAAGTGGACATTCCCTAACCCTCCTCTACCGAAAAAAGCCCAGTTGAACTTAAATGGTCTGAAATCAATGCCTTTGCTAACCTGGCTCATTTTGACTGAAGTGGGTTACAGAACGCCCACCCGAGCAGCTAATTCTGGAGCTGGGAAAAAAGCACTAACAAACGTTTGGGGGGGTCTGGAAACATTAACCTCTATAGCTGGCACAGCTGCAGCCAGACAAAGACAAGTGATCAAGCCCTTTTTTCATGGATAAGGATAAAACAGCAGATGAACACAGACAAAATATTAAAATTTCATTTAAAAATAAAAAAAAATCAGTAAAGCAAAGAAATTGAGACGTGAGCCTGAAATTCCATCTCAGTTTACAGCACACTGCACAGATGTTTTGTAAAAATAAACTCACATGCAAGTGCAACTAGTGAGTGTAGGATGCAGATTTTTCACACTTATTCTTTTGACTGACGAAATGTGATTTTTCATTCGGAATGTTGGTTTTAAAAAGAAATAGATGCCAAACCTTCTCTTTTATCCCTTCATGAAAAAGAGGCAAAATAAATAGCACTGACCTAAATCAGACATGGGGCAAACACAAATGATGTGCAGACTCCCAAAACACATTTTTCAATGCACTTAATAACTGATTACAGCATCTTGTATTTGTATGCAGCCCTTCCAGTAAGAACTGCTGAGCAGTGTCAGACTTTGTAGCAGATTTAGTGTGTGTAAGTGGAGACAAGGATGAATCCACTAATTCTTGATTTAATTTCCCAAGGGTGTTAAAAAGGAAATCTGTCTGAACTTCGTGGCAAATCACATGATGGCTTCTGGAAACTGGAATCAAAGTGCCTGGCAGCAGAGACACATTGCATCTGGATTTACCAGCGCCTCTTATGCTTGGCAATCAAACATTCCCACGTGAGGCCATCAAGTTGGACATCTCCTTTAGTATCTACCGGTGAGAACATTTCACAGCTGTTCTACATGGGTGAAAATAACTGTCCAGACTGCAAAGGAGTAAAGAGTCAGGACCTTCAGACTCCCTCCAGAGCAATGAACAGAAATAACACTGCTGCTTCTCCACTGATAGACACCACTTTGCACTGTGGGGGCTGCTGGGCCGTACCAGGCACGTCTGACTGATCCCCACTACCCCGGGAGGCATCATCTCCTAATGAAACTGCAGTGAGCACTGGGGAACTATTTCCATTTGCTGAGGTTTCTGTGAGGAAAAAGAGGGGAGGGCTGTTTGTTTACATGTGGGTTTTATTTTATTTCCATTTTGCCTGCTGGATCATTAAGAGAGTAAGAGGGTAATAATCATAAAGTCTCTACCACAACTGCTAGATACTTTTTTTGTACCCTACACTCTAATAGTCTGTCTGAGGAATTACACACGTGCACTCGGTTTAAGTGCATTCGTGACCTAATTAAGCTGGAAAAATACAACTGACAAGAGGGCTCTCAGCCTTTCATTGTATTTTCCATTCACATTGCTACAATAAGAAATCATATTTATTTTTAAATCTCCATGTGTCTGTGTGCCTATTTACTTCTCTTATGCACGTGTTTGTGGTGGGAACTGCACTTCTCAAAGGCCTGATAGAAGTGACATTAACTTCGGGTGAATTGTTGCATTAACTTTTACTGACACCAAGAACACCACAAAAAAAAAAAAGTTTGGGAAGGATTTGCTCCTGTCTTTTAAGACTTAGAAGACTCTTCAAGCTCAATAGTGTATTTTAAATTATAGTTTGGCCATATGTGCCCATAGCAGATGAGTGAAGGTCTACATCGGTTCTTGCTTTGTCTTGCTTTGTTTTTTATCAAAGGATGAGGCAGATTTACTCAGTCAGTTTTCCACAGTGTAAGAAGCTACTGAGGGGTTCAACTACAGTGAGATAACTACCTTTTAAGGATGACTGTGTATGACCAAAGTCAGTGGCAAAAGTCCCAGTGGTTTGGAAAAAGCCGTATGCGTTCACCTTCTAGTTTGTTGGAGACACAGGACTTTGCCATCAACTCTTTTCGTTATTCCTAATGTCCTTAAAAGGTGGTATTTGCCATGAAGTCATTGCATGCAGAAAGAGTGACATTTTTCAGGCCTAACATGTGAGACATTTCTCACAAGTGCACACATATTACTGGAGGAGAGATTTCACACCAGACTAATAGTGAAAAAATTTAAATGATAGAAACATTATGGGACCTGTGGGCAGGAATTGGCTGAGGAAGCATAACAAAAATATGATCCAAGCTCATACTTTGCTATTAGATTTGTGGATTCAAATAATTAGTAATTTTTGCTTTTTTTATAAGACTAAGAAAATGCAATACATTCTTTTTTTTCCCCCAGAATATTTAAAGATCATTTTTCCTTATCTTTTTTTAAAATAGAAATAAGACATATGAAGCTTTAAAAATATGAACTAAATTATATTTAGTTTTCATTAATTCATTTTAGAAGACTGGATGTTTTCAAAAGCAATAGTCACTTTACCTTTTTTACATTTTACTTGGCAGACTCAGTTGGCATAACTAAAATTAAATGTTATCAAAATATATTAACTTATTGAATCAAGTATTTTTAAATCAGCTATTAATAAAAGTTTTAAACAGTTTGCATTGTTAACAATAAAAGCACACCAATTCACCCCATGCTTAGAAAAACTTCACAGAAAAATACACTTTTCCGAGAAGAAATGCAACAGAAGAGCAGGGATGGAGATAATAGTTTAAATATGATCTTCATCACTGGAAATGTAAATGATTGTGAGGAGATTTTTCAGAAAGTAAGATCATCAAAACTGCAAGGCAGAATTAGTGATTTCTTCACTGAAATATTAAATGGAGCATTTGTCAGTAAATACACAGCGGAGTCAGTACAGAGGGAAACTGCAGCAGATCGAAGGTGCAGATTAAAAGCTTGTGCTATTCACTACTTCAAAAGACCAAAAATGAAACACAATGCAAAGTTTCATTGAAAATATACCGATTAAAATATCTCCATCCACCTTATTCCATGCACGTTAGACAAGTGTGAGACGCGGGTTCACCGAGAGAAGAGAAGAATAGGCAGAGACACCCTTCATGCAGAGAGCATCAACTTTGAGTCTACAAACCTGTTCTTGTCAGGCTGGTTCCATCCAGCCTAAAACCAGCTTTATCTGCTGCTGCAACCAGTGCTTGTGCAAAACTGCCGCTGGTAAAGATCGAGTCATCTGAGGAGCTACCTACACTAGATCTATGACTAGAAAAGTTACGGTCCTCATCAGACGCAGAACCCCATCCATTTACCATTGAACCTAAAAACAAATGTAGGGGTCTAGTGAGTTGTGCACATTTGATACCTTTTGATCATCTAAAGCTTAAAGACCCAATTAATATGTCCTTTCTCAACAGGAAACCCAAAATTCATTTGACAGAGCTTGGTACAAAAGAGCAATATTCAGCTAAAGCTTAAAGACCCACTTAGTATGT